CTAATTATTTCTCCGTTGGAAGCTTTGTCGTCGTTGTTTGTATTTGGCCTTTTCTTTTTCTGTTTAGTTTAGTTTAAAAAATTATAATAATAAATAGTTTTTATCCCGATTTGTAATTTGCATTTTTTTTTAGTGTTTGATTCTGTTTTTCGTCTAGTAGAGTTGTTTCTTGGTAGTTTTTTGTATAGTCTTATGGCATGTTTACTTAGTAGGATTGAAGAATGAGAGTGGAGAATGGAAGTGAATATCATGTTTACTTACTTTTTTTATCCTAAAATGAGAATGAGATTGGTGGGTCCCACTCAAATTTGAAATTGAGGAATGAGATTGGCACTCCCATGCCCCCCCTTGGGATTGAGACTCTCATTCCTAATATTAATATTAATTTACTATCATACCCTTATTTTACTTATAAATACACAATTTAAAATAAAATTCAAAAAATAATAAATGCAACATATATTTATTATTTTATTTGCCTAATATTATAATATTAGTATAATTATTGTTAACTTTAATATAATAAATATGTGATTTATTTTTTAATAAATTAATAATATATTTTATTTTTTAACACTATTTTCTATTTTTATTTATTTTATTTAAATTATTTTAAAATTTTTAATTTTATATTTTAAATAGTTGTCAATTTATATTTATTATTTTAGTACCCAATATGACACTAAATATTTTAACTATGATTAATTTTAATATAATAAGTACACAATATATTTTTTAAATTGAAAATATCAAGTTGATTTAAAGGGCATATTAGTACTTTAACATTTTTTCATTCCGATTCTAAGTGTAAGTAAACGTATGAATGAGATTTAGAATGACTCCGATTCCGAATCCTATCACTAAGTAAACAACTTATTCTGACGCTGATTCCTCACTCCGAATCCTACTCACTCCGAATCCTTCCCACTCCGATTCATGCTCATTCCGATTACGCGTAGGTAAACATGCCATTAGTGCTATGATATTCTGGACATTGATTGGTGTAGAAGATCTATTGAAAGCTCATGTGTTTTTTGGTGGCCTCTTTGAATGTCTGTTTTTGAAGCTCAATATGCAACATTTGTCCTTCATCGTTTGAATTTATAATAAAAGTTGTTTATTGATGTCGTGTTTTCTGTGGGTGTGAATTTATGTTTGTATTGTTTTTTTAAGGTTATGGAATGGACTATTTCATTCATTAAAAAAAAAAGGAAAAGATATATGAGAGAAGTAACTGTAAGGAGTTATTGTTATTCATAAATAAAAGAGAGATAAAAGAAGTAAAAATAATAATAAAAACCACCATCGAAAATATATTATGTTTACTCATGTAAATGAGTTTTATTTTTAGTTAGCAATTCATGGTAACCAATTTTTCAGGGAAAAAAAAAAGAATTGTGATTACATTTTTTTTTTCTAACTTAAGGCTTGAGCCTTCTCGGCTTTCGCTGTGTGCGGTGGTCCATACTCCTATAGTCCTAGCACCTCGAGCTTATTAAGATGAATAATGGCATTGTCCTCCTCAACACATATACCGATCATTCAACGGGAGCATATATATATATATATATTTATATATATATATATATTTATATATATATATATATTTATATATATATATATATATGTCACATTATTTTATGGTACACATAAACTGTATGATGTGAAATAACGCTTTGAAGAATAATAGAATTAAGTACTCATATCAAAATATGCGACATTTGCCGTGGGAAATGGAATCAGAGGAGTGGTAACGTGGCTAGATGTGACTGGTTATGCAGTTACAACTACATGCACAAGATCGATCACACCAGTGATGAACTTCGGCCGTGCAAATTAGTACACGGACGACTAATTAACAACGATTTCCATGCATAAAATTCATTCTTAAATGACATATATATAGCCGTCAAATTAATTCCGTTGTGAAGGGATATGTATATCCACAATTATAAATGCTACCTTTTTATTTATTTTTGTTTCTATTGTTGGTAGCTAGCTTTTTTTTAAGGGAAATTTGTATTCAAATATAAATAGATAAACAAACAGTACAATACAAGACTGATGATAATAGAGAGACGGACGTATACTAAAGCATGAGAATGAGAGATAATCTTAACACACTAAGATCGGGTGCATTTAAGGCTCATCAAAATAAGCTTCCAAGCTCTTGAGGGACGGAACACCAACCCCTACTCATGTTAAAAATTTAAAAACCCCTTGATTATATGCTAGCTTATTATGAGGATATATTTCATCATGAGTTATCGTTGCAAACATATACGTGTTTAGTTGGGAGTATATATATGTATATGTAGTTTTTTTTATATATATATTTTTAGTAATATGTATATATAAGTATTTGAAAGATATATAGCTTAAGCACACAATATTTGGTAGGATGGATAGAAAAGAAGAAGGATGGAGAAGTGAAATACATAAGTAAAGGAAGTAAAATAATCTTATGTTGTTTAGTAGAAGAGAAAGAAAAGTGAAAAGAAAGTATAATAATAATAAAAATATGATGAATGGTAAATGTTAAAATTGTTATTTTACATCTCATTTGTTTGTCCAACTTTTTATCTCCTCTTTTCTTCCTAAAGTTGGAAGGATTAAAATTTAGTGGGCATAGATTTTTATTTTCCTTCCTTCCTCATTTTCTTCTCTCTACAAAACAATCTAAAATTTCATTTGTCTCTCTAAAATTCTTCATCTATTTTATTTCTTCTCTTTTTCCCACCCTACCAAACACACTGTTAAAGTGACATATTGGCGTGTGCTATAAAGAGGGAGAAAGGAAAGAGCCACTTCTTTTTAGTTTGGCAATTTTGGAAGTCTAATGTTATTTACTTATTTTAGGAGACGTTTGGTTCATGGATTAGAATCATGTGATTAGAATCATTTTCGATTTACGTGTATTTTTTGTGAGAGAAAATATTATAGCGAATTATGAACCATGATTCAAATCATAGTTTAAATTTTCCAACCAAACATCCCTTTAAGAATTTAGTCCATTCAGACTTCGGTCCAGCATTCCTATATTATTATTGCCTTTCTTATTATGATATACATGTATACATATACATATATGTTAGACATCCAAAAATCTGCCAATTAGACATTTTCTTTTGCTGGAAGCTTATGCATTAAGAATTATCCGGTGTTTTGCACTTTTGGACAATTACATCCTAATTTTGGTTTTATTTAAACATGTATTGAGGTACATAAACACATATTACTATAAATGAGATTCTATAATATGAAAAGGATAACTAGTCATGTTAAGTCCTTTATAATTAGACGAAGGGCATTATCTCAGCCCACTAATAACTTATAAGCAATGAATTTGTAGCATTTTAAGGCCCTATACACCATTGTTTAGGTAGTATAACATCAACTTATCAATGCATTTTACATGAGTTTGATGTATCAACCTTTCCAAGCCAAAAAGACGACAAAAGGCTTTCATTCAAATTTTCCCATCCAGGAAAAAATATATATAAAAACAAGGGCTTAGTCCTCTAAGATATTGTACACGTCATCAAGGACCCCACCATGAAAGTGGATCCCACCAACAGACACACGATGTAATGTATTCTGTGTTGTGTTATCTTAGCCGTGGCTTTGGTTTCCCTTGCAAGTGACTGTCACGCCCCCAATGATGCAAGTGGGACCTCCAAAAATTCCCCATTGCCTATTTTATATTAAAATGAGTATAAATCAATACCATTATCCATTAACCTAAGAAGATGTTTCCAATTTCACATATAAAAGGAACCGTACGGCCTCACAATCCCTGTCATAGCCCTCACTCGCCGGTACAGCAGGCCGGCGGAGCCTGTGAAACCACATTTATCATCATTTAACAATAACGTTAAAGAATGCTACCTCATCTCGCAAAAAGACAAATTTACCCTCAATTCAGTAGTCAACTCCTATTCTTCCTGTAATATAATTTTTTTTTTAATTTTTTTTTTTCATTCCTAGAAAGTGCACGTCATTTAAGAAATTAATGACACGTTTGGTCCCCCCATTGCCACAATTAAATATTCTGATTAATGAAATTAATTTTGAAGAAGCTAGGCAAATTAAAATTTTTAAAAAATGAAAAAGAGAATGAAAAAATAATAAAATTATAAAAGTACGAGGAGGTGGCGCTCTGTTCCCCTATGTATACACAAAAGAGCATGATTAATTTGTAGAAATTCGATGAAATACTCCTCTTTTTCACTGCCCTGAATCTCTCTACTTCAATAATCTAATGGAGTCCTTTTTTTTTATTATTTTTTCTTTCGAATTTGAAAATTAACCCTTTATACAGACAGATGTCTCCAAGGAAGATAATGTACTTTAAAAGAACAAAAAGCACCAAAAAGGTTTATTAAAGAAACTAAAATAAGTTCCGAAAAAACAAAAAAAAATAAAAATAAAAAACCCAATCTCCTATTGTACGCAAAGATAAATTAAAAAGCTCATTCTTGCTAAAAAAACAAATTTGAACTGCTAATTGAAATTAAGAGAGTAAAAAAAAAAGGGGGGGGGGGGGGGGAAACAAGTAGGTGGAATTGATTTAATTAAGAATATAAAACAAATGAGGGAGAGGGACAATAAATGGAGGGCAAGGGAAAAGTAGCGGGTTTTCCGGTGCAAAGGACGAAGAAAGAAAAGCTGGTGCGGCGACACGTGGCATTAGAATCAAGCGTACGATGAGAAGATGATGGCTTAGCATCCGTTGATCATCCAACTTGAAGATGAGATCATGACAAACAACACCACCCACGGACAGCCCAGCCAAACGATGGATTATGGAAAAAAGAGCGAACGAGCGAGTGAGTGAGTGAGTGAGAGAGAACTCAAAAAGACAGATAGAGAGAGATTCAGATTAAAAAAAAAAAGAGAGAGAGCGAGAGAAAGAGAGACTTAAATTTGAGGGAAGAGAGAGAGAGGAAGCGCAGTTGCAGAGAGAGAGAGAGAGAGAGAGAGAGGGGTATGGCGGCGTCACACAGAGAGAGAGAAAGAGACAGACTTTTTCTTAATTGCGTTTGTGGGTGTGTGTTGTCTTAAATTAAATGCTTTCTTTGGAGGAAAAATAAAAGAAAAAAAAAACTGTGAAAGCAAATTGCAAAGCAAAGAGAAATAGGAGGCAAGGGAATTGAAAGCGCGAATAACGCTGCCTCTAGAACAGTTTTCTCTCTCTGTTCTTCTTCTTCTTCTTCTCCTTCTGCTCATCAGCTGATTTCCATTGCAATTCTCCCCAAAAAAAAAAAACCCCACTTTCTTCTTCGTCTTATTAGAGCTGGCTCAGCAAATTATAGCATGTATATATAATATACCCAGAAAAAGAGGAAAGAGTTTTACCCATCTCTGATATGGATTTTCGGTCAACAGAATTATTAGCAGTAGTAATAATAACAGTAGTGCAGCAATGGCTGGGTTCTTCTCTTTAGGATCATCATCATCATCACCGCCACCAGGAGGATCAGGATCAGGATCAGGAAGAGGAGGAAGATTAAGATCATCGGGACCCACTTCAACAAACCCCGAAATTCCCCCACCGGAGAGCCTCTTCTGGTACAAGAATGACCAGGAAGTTCCGTCCTCCTACAAAACGTTCGAGCTCTGGCAACAGCAACAGCAGCAACAAGCTGAACAACACCACCACCAACATCATCTCTTCTACCGACACCAGCAAGATCTCTACTCCTCCGCGGCGGCGCTAGGGGTGGGGCCCAGCTCGATCAACGCCGGCGGCGTGTCGGATGAGTCGTCATCGAGATCTGCGTTCGTGATGATGAGGTCATCGACGTCTTCCGGAGGAGGCAGTGGTGGAATCAGTTGCCAAGATTGTGGGAATCAGGCGAAGAAGGACTGCATCCACATGAGGTGTAGGACTTGTTGCAAGAGCCGAGGGTTCGAGTGCTCGACCCATGTAAAGAGCACATGGGTCCCAGCTTCCAAACGAAGAGAACGACAACATCAGCTTCTGCAACAACAACAACATAACCTCTCTTCTGAAGCCATGATTAACGAACAAGGTGGTGAAATTCAGGTTCATCCCAAGAGGCAGAGAGAGATCACTACTAATACTTCTCATCAGATTGTTTGCCCTACTACTACTGCTCGTAATTTGCAAACCAACATTACTACTACGTCAGGTACTACTGCTGCTGCTACTACTATCCTTTGTGTTGGAGATATATAGAGATAGAGCAAAAGGTTTTTTTTTTTTTTTTTCCTTTTCTTTTTCATGTGGTGATGATCGATTGCGTGTGTAAAGAGATCAGGAAATGGATCGCTTCTCCATATACTACAAACCACACCCCATATGATCATCATCAGCTTTTCTTTCCTCTTTTTTATCTGTCGTCTCCTTTTTCAAAACACTGTTATTTGGTAATTCTGACGACATAGATCTCCAGGAATGACACTGTTCTTCCTTTCCCTTCATCTCTCTCTCTCTCCCTCTCTCTCTCTCTCTCTCTCTCTCTCTCTCTCCCTCTCCCTATCCCTCTCCCTCTCTCTATCTTTTTTTCGAGTGTTGATATCTGTGTATGATCAGCATGTGTATATCATGTGCTGCTACCTTCTTTTTTTCGCGTGTTGATATCTGTGTATGATCAGCATGTGTATATCATGTGCTGCTACCTCTCCAATATGCGCCATTTTTATACACATAGACAACCATATTATTACTTAATCATTTATTTATTTGTATGTACTGTAACTTGTAGGGTTGGAAGTGGGAAACTTTCCGGCGGAATTGAGCTCAAACGCGGTGTTCAGGTGCGTGAGGGTGAGCGCGGTGGAGGAGAATGATGATCAGTATGCGTATCAGACGGCTGTGAACATCGGAGGACATTTGTTCAAGGGAATTCTATACGACCAAGGTCCGGAAACCAACTACAGCAGTACTTCTAATATGCAGGCTGCTGCAGCCGGAGAAAGCTCCTCCGGCGGAGTTCAGCCGTTGGATCTCATCACCACCACCGCTGCCTCTCAAGCCACGCCGTTTGATCCCTCGTCTCTATATCCCCCTCCGCTCAACACTTACATTGCCGGTACGCAATTCTTCTTACCACCAAGATCTTAGAGAAAAAGAAATTACATGAAAAAAAAGGAGAAAGATTTAATCCTCTCACGATCTCTTTCTTTCTCTCTGTCTGTGATTTCTTTCTTTCTCTTGACCAACTTTTTTTTTCCTTAGATCATATTGTAGTACATTTTGACACCCAATGAACTAGGAGACTTGTTATAAGTTAAAAAGAAAGGTGAACGAGAGGAAATGATGATGAGGATTATGATGTTTTTTTTTTTTTTTTGGTGGAAAAAAAGAGAGAACTTCTTCAATGGTTATATTTGAATAGAATTAATTCTTCTTTCTCTCGTTATTAAAGATCCCAGATAGTTAATTATACCATATTATTCGTGGTCATATGATTGTAGTATAATATATAATAATCTGGTTATTTGATGTGATTTTGTCCTTGTTATTATTATTTTTAATTTCCTTCTCTTCTGGAGTTGAAAATCCACTAGCTAGACTAGTCTTTTCTGTGTGGTTTTGAATTTCGAAGCTGCTTTTTCCCTGTTTAGCCGTATGTTTGCCGGTTTGAAATGGGAAATGGGAAGATTACAATTGGTTTCGTATTTTGTTGGGCAAACTATACATGTGTGTGTTATACACACACACAAGACCAATTCTTTTTTCCTGTTATTATGGGCATTTGGGCGGTCCAGCCATGCATGAGAGCATTCAAGTCCAAAAGGTTATAGGAAATTTCTCTCTCTCTCTCTCTCTCTCTCTCTCTCTCTCTCTCTCTCAACTTCTGTAGGATACAATATTTTCTGCGTGAACATGCAAAGATGTGACCTTTGTTGTCAAAATGGGAAAGTATATAGTCTTGGTTTAATGGACACAATGCTTGATCATTTTCAAAAAAAAAAAAAAAATGCTTATTTCTGTATGCAATATTAATTAAGTGTATACATATAGATACATATAACGTTCCTTGCTAATTTTATATATAAATATATAAATTTATATATAGAATATGGAAATAAATTAATTATACTAGAAGATTTAAAGGGCTTTCATTTCGTTAGTGAAGCATCTAATCTATAAATGACATGTTCTCTTTTTGCATGCATTAATGGCTTTGCGATATCTCATTTCCCAATATGCATAGATAGAAGTCTTTAATCAACATAAAAATAGTTTAGCCGTTGCTTATTCTCATTAATGCTTGCACATCGTGCAACTAATTAGTAAGCATGCTTCTATGTGAACTATTTGTGTGTTATATATGTGTAAGCTCGCATATTTTGTATGAATATACTACTCCTGTAGGAACTGCAAGATATGATGATAATTTCTTTCAGGAAATTAAATCTAAATCGGTATTAGGGGTAAGCACGATGCTGGTTATTATTACGACTAACCTAATATTTTACTAATAAATATGTTGTAAAAAAGCTATTAGATTCGACAAGTATTAAAAAAAAAAAGAACGCTAATTAAGTAAATAGTAGTGACTCTATCCTCTGATCAGATTCATATATATAGTTTGATTTAGGGCTGACACACACACATATATATAAATATACATTATGCAGTACTGAGTTATTTGAGATCACATCCCTTCATTTCTATCCCAACAGTGCAATTAATCCCTTCAGAATTTCATAACCACGTAATACTTATTACTAAGAAGGATAGTTAATTTCCAAGCTTCATCAACAAGCTCATAGATTTCCAGCGCCTATTAGATACCTTATTTCACCACTAAGTGAAATAAGAAAGCGAATAGATGTATTAATGGAAGTGAGTTTATTTCAACCCTTACTATTAGAAAGCTTCTCAAACTTTAGTTTGTATTATAAAATTAAATATTAATATCACTATAACAAATCAAAGAATTAAGCTCCCTTCTTGAAACTATAAACATGTTAAGCATTTATGGTCGTCGTATATTTCTTGTAATTGTACGTGCATAAGAACAAATCTTCGCTAGGACATGTTTTTGGCTTCATTAAGTGGAAAAAAGTGAAATTATGATAGTTTTCTTTCGCATTTTACTTTTTTTTTTTTAAAGGAAAACTCTGTTGTTATTTGTTTACGATAGTTTTCTTTCGCATTTTAATGTACAATTATTTTTACGCATATATCGTGGAGATCAACTCCAACCCAATAAACTAGCTATGATACTGAATAAAGAATCCAACTTAACATTTCACTTGCAAATTAAAGTAAATAATGTTGTACATATATAATAAAAGAGGGGAAAAAAGGCTAATATGTGATATAATTAGCTTGGTGGAAGTGATTGCAATATGTGTGTTTATATCTTTATAGTATTGTGTATTGCAGTTGACAGGGAAAAATTTGAAGAAAAAGAAAATAATTAGTTAAAGCCCTAGAAGAACGTCGTACTTTAGCTTAATTTTGGTAGTTGTATTTGTACATTTGATCAAATCTGTGTTTCGGTTTGTAGTAGTGTATGTGGGAATTGGGGTTAGTTGCGAACCAAACGAATTTCTTTTCTATATCATATTTAGAATTAGCTAGTTTTAGTTCAATTCAGTTGTCGAGAGTAGTAGATATTCAAACTAAATAATTTATATACGAGGCAATTAATTTCTATACTGTTTTAGCTTTTTACAGCTAACTTTGTATGATCGCTTTCCTTTCCTTCCCCCCCCCCTTGAATTTGAGTTAGAAAAAACAAATGTAAGAAGGGGTAATTTCTAGGCAGAAATCAGTAAGGTGAATGAAAAACATATACATACATACATTTATGTATATATATATATATATAGAGAGAGAGAGAGAGAGAGAGAGAGAGAGAGATCAAGAAAAAAGAGCAGAACGAGACAAATTAGCAAAGAAGCATGATAACATGAATCAGTTTAAACCCGTATGCAGTGTTTATTATTTACATCATTTATCTTCGTATTTATTTATTTTTTATTAGTCACTATCCTATATCAGTCTAGTCTGCAGACGATGATTCATGGTAAATTTCTTGTAGAGGAAAAAATAACCAGAACTACAAATCGATCGTTAATCAAATATCTCTTTTTGGTAATATCTATAAATCTATATGTACCAGCATCAGTACAAGCACTACTATACTTAAAACGTACGAAACAGACAAATTATTTATTACATGTCATGTGAAGTGTATCAGATGATCATCGTGGGTTTGAAAGGGAAAACAATTATTTATTTATTTTTTAAAATTAATAAGACAAGTTATAAGTTCATTACTTAATAAATCACCGTATTCCTAACTAGATTGCATTTACATAAATACACTTCTTAGTTATTTAAATTTAAAAAAAAAATGTTGATAAGTAAAAAAATTACTCTACCAATATATAGCTTTGGACCCTTTAGTTTTTATAAAATCTTCTTAAGTTTATTTATTTATTTTAATTCTAATATTATTGAAATTTGACAATCTATTATTAAGTAGTAGTATAGGATAGCATACACATATCATAGAATTCTTCTTTTAATTATATCGTAGAATTCTTCTTTTAATTTTTTTTTTTATGTTTAAAAAAAATTAAAAGAAGAATTCTATGATATGTGACTAACAAAGAAGCAGAACATGCATAGATTTTCGTGACTACATGTATATTTACATATTATATTATAATATATACACATACACACACATACATGACATGTGAGATAGCATGGGTCCTTTGGTGATCTTTATTGAAGTCTTATCAACTCAGCTGCAACCTTGTGGAATATGCAATGTGACATTTCATACGTTCTCTTCATCCTAAGCAGCTATTCCTCACATAATCCCACAAATAGTTACGTATTTTATTGTTCCATTTGTCTTGTGACTATTGTTCCAATTATCACATCTAAATTTCAGTCGTGAATATTGAATTCTTCTTTGGTATATAATGCCACGTTAATATTCTTCTATTTATACTTCCATATTTATTAACACCCCATGTGCTGCTAATTCCATTGGAAAACCGACCAAATTTTCTCCACGTTTTTATTAATTTCAAAGCTTTTTTACCCTTTTTTACCCTTTTTTATTATTTATTATTTTTCTTTTTGGGGTTGGACAAGGATAGTAGGTGGTGGTTTACTCCACCACATGTTTAGGGGTTAAAAGACAAAGTAAATTTGTCACAGCAGTGTACGGTGGCACTATAATACAGCTGTTTGTTATGCTCTCTTTCCCAGGAAAGGCCATTCATTAACTTAAAGCGAATAATGTTAAGTTATTGTAAATATACTTATTAGACTACCAAAAGTAAAAGTTTTGAATAAATTCTTCTAAAACGTGAATGGATTAATTAATAAATTTGTTCAAGAAGATTTTAAACTCCCTTTCCCAATGCAAAATCAAAATTATGGATTCGACTTTATCTAAATGGTGACGGCCTTCCTTGTTCCTCTTTTCCTCCATATTAATAGACTTCCACTTTTCTCGGATTCTCATGTTTCCTTTAGCAGCACAAATTAAGAGGAATAATTACAATAATGTTCTCTTTTATTATTTTTAACAATTTGGAATACCATTCTCCTTCAGCAACTTCTACTTGAAGTTGTCTTTTTTTATATATATTTTTTCACTTGTTGAAATTATAATATATATATGTATAATTGTGTGCGTATATATATACACTTTTTTATATTTTATTGTAGTTTTAGGTAAATAACCACTTCAACGACTTCCGGAAAATAAAAAAGAATCAGTTCGTTAACATTTTTCTCCTTTTTAAGGGGAAAAAAAGACAAATAACGGTTGTAAAACGTATTTTAAGTAAATGTTCTTAGTTTTATTAAATTTAAATAATATATATTTTTAAAAATAAAATAAAATAATCGATTTTTGGTAAACCATTGATTGATCTTGATAAATTATTGTTTAATTAATTATTGATTCACCAACATATGTTTTAAGTTATAAATTTTCAACCATTTAGATTATTAATATTTTAATTTTTAGGTAAATAAACATTTTCCTAATTCAAGAAAACAGAGAACGTTTTCAAAAATAATACTTTATTAAAAGGGTCATCTGCACATATGAGAAAGAAGTATAATTAAAGAAAAAACTTGTACATAAATATTTCCTTCAACATTACTTGTGCATATAAACTAACCCTAGCGTATCCAAAATCCAAAACTAGAGCTAAAATCACGAATTGTAATAAACAGGAACACACCTTCATTAACTTGAACATATCCACAACATAAACCTGAGTAATTATTATGTTAATTATACTGTGAGTAATTAGTAAGAGTAAAGATTATTGAAACCCACCTGAACAATTCTCTCCCAAATATGCAGTACTCCTTCGGATTCATAGTACTCCAAACCCTCATCCAACAGAAGCTTAAACGACAACTTTTGACTTCGGCTTTGCCTCGGACTTTCTTTGTTGGCCGGTTTGCTCTATAAAATGTTAATTTATACATTTTTTTTAAGTTATGGGCAACCTTAAAACACAAAGCTAAAAGAGGGTTTTGCTTTGAAAGTTGAAAACAATATGTGTGAGCGCATCAAAACACTCAACACCAAAATTTTGAAAAAAAAAAGAAAAGAAAGAGAGAGATGTATATATATAGAGAGAGAGAGAGAGAGAGAGAGAGAGAGAGGAAAGAGATCCATACATCAAGGGTAGAAAAGGGATCTGAAATGGATATCACTCCAATCCATATACAGAACAACTAGAGCCATTCAAAACAAGTAAAGAAGTACTCTTGGGGTTATGGTATTAGGGCATTATAGGGTGGTTAGCATTTTCAGTTGGGAAGCAGTAGGGTGAGCCCAAGAATGGAGTTTTAATGCACTATACTAGTCACTACAATTTGAAAAGTTATTTTTCTTTTTTTTTTTTTTTCTTTCTTGTGGGCATCATTTGGTGTGGTCCCAAAAAACAAGGTCCTAACTGCAAAAGGTAGCTTTGATGAAGTAGTGTAGTGTAGTAGCTGTTTTCAAAATCCTATTTGCTTCTGAGAAAGTAGGAGACAGCCTGTTTGGAGGAACTGTGTTGATGAATGGAAAATTGGGTTTTTGTCAATTTCTTTTTTCTTTTTTCTTTTTGGTTGTAAGACAATTTTCAGCTCTTGTGTTGGCAAAGGAAGGCTGCAATTTTAGGGGGGTTGTTAGATCAGCTGTGTCTTTTAAGCCACATATATATGTTTTTCGGTACCAAGCTTTGTAATTGTCTGATGAATCGTCTCTTCAATGGGTCAGCGTTATATTCTCTGGTTTGCAGGATTAATTATGATGATCTAGTCAAGTCAGTCTTTATTATTGTTCTTACATTCCACCGAAGGATGTTTGGTCGAAAAGCCAATTTTGCAACATGTTATATGAGAAAGGAAAAAAAAAAAAAAAAAATTGAAGAAATATAGGAATGAAATTAGCTAAAAGTGAAGTGAAGAGAGAGTGGAAAAGAAAACCCACACGCTAGTTTTACAGCAAACTGACCATTTAACAACTTTCGTTGTTTGTTCCTAAAGTTTGTCCAGTTTTTTCTTGTACGTTAATATATCTGCACAACGTCGTGGGGGAGCTTTATTTTTTATTCATTTATTTTTAATTTTTTGAATTTTATGATCTTTTTGAGAAAAAAATTAAAGAGAGAATTCTTCTCTATAATCTACCTTCTGTGTATACGGTTTCTTATCTATTAGACTGTAGTCAGATCCTATAACACGATAATTACTTCAAACTTTTTAGCCTATATATAATGCGTTGCATTTTAATAAACCTTAAAAAAGAAATCCAAAGTAATAACTAGCTTGAGCACTATTATGCATACCTTGTGAATTGACAAAAGTCTCGTCTCTTTTCCTATTTATTTTAATTCTGCGTATAATGTTGCAGACATCTTTAATATATATGTGGAAGCTACAATGCAATGTGTTGTATAGTAGGGTAATAAGTAGGAATTCGAAGAATCTCTTTCTCAAATGTAAAGCTCAGCTATAAGATCTCCCACAATCTGAGGAGAAAGAAAATAACCAAAAAACATTGGTTTCCACAAGTTAAAATAACAGGATTTTCTTTAAAGTTTAAAGCTCCATATTGTCTGCAATAGAGTTTATAAAAGTTCTTGATAAAAAGAAAGTCGGTGCCACAACAAATATTTAGGTCATTAGGAGATATGATTGTCTACCTTGTAGGATGACTGGTTTAGATCGAGACCCTCTTAAGTACAGCGATCCCATCATGGGAAATTACCCAATTATTGTAGGCGCTCAAATTATTTACCTACCTTTTTTATGATCTTTCGTTAAAAGTCCAGCCACATATGCACTAGGTAATTATTTATATGTTTTACTTGGTCTCTCTTGATTCCTTTATCAAAAAAAAAAAAAAATCAAAAGTTTTAATTTTCTTTAAGGTTTATACGGTCTATAGTATGGTGTATATTTCCGAACATAAAATCTGATTAAAATCATATAGAAAAAGTATGCAAACTAGCAAGCTGATAAAAATTTGATAACTTCAAACAATGCCCTACTATTAAGATTTCTTCTTCATACCCTACAATAAAATTCTATTTTGTTTTTTCCTTTACACGCGGATGGTAGGTGCCATAAGCTTTTCTTGGTATAACCAGTTCACTAATAACGCAATTTGCTGTTGTCTTTGCTTTTCTGCGCAAGTTGATGTCTAAGACCATCTCTAATATAATGACATATTTAGTTACGCATAATTAGTATAGACATAAATTGGAGTAGACAAGATTCAGAGTATGTAAAATTTAGAGTGAGAAATCAGAATCAGAATAACTTATTTACTTGGTGAAAAGATTCAGAATCTAAGTCACTCTAAATTTCATGATTGCATTTACTTACGCTCAGAATCAGAATAAAATAGTGTAAAAGTATTAATATACCCTTAAGTCAAATTATATTTTTAATTTAAAAAATAAATTGCGTACTTATTATATTAAAATATTTAGTGTAATAATAGGGTAATAAAATAATAAATATAAATTGTACAATAATTTAAAAAATAAATTGTTAAAATTTAAATAAAAATAAATAATAGTGTTAAAAAATTAAATATATTATTAATTTATTAAGCAAATAAAGTACATATTTATTATACTAAAATTAACAATAGTTAAACTAATATTATAATATTAGGCAAATAAAATAATAAGTATGTTGTAATTATGATTTTTTGAATTTTATATTTATAAGTATAATTGGGGTATGATAGTAATTTAATATTAATATCAAGAATAAGAGTTTCAATTCCAATGGGAGTGCCAATCTCATTCCTCAATCCAAATTGTATATTTGACATCAAAAGTGCAATATGATAAGTTATTTTTATTTGTACTCTAATGCATAATGCTATTTCAAATGCTAAATCTGTTCTTCATAAATAATTGAACTTTAAAAGTTGTAGATTTATATTTTTATTTTTAAAACAAAATACAAAAATTATAATGATTAAAAGAAAAAATAAACGCATTAACAATTTGCCATATGCTATATTTGATTGTAAATTTAACACAACAAATGATATTGTATTGGAAATTGTTTTTCAACACTCAAAATGCTATATTTGCTATTGAGACATCACTGCTCTAACACCGAGAAATCAATTTAGGTGGAGAAATAGCTCTCCGCTTCTCAATTCTGTTTCATCTTTTCTTCCAATTTTGCTCTAGGATGAGTAGGCCTTAAATGTTATTCATTCTTTTAGATATGCTTGTTTTTCTTGTACTCCGATAATTGTACCTCATTTCTATGATTATGTGCACTCAACCTTTTGAACAGCCCCACCTTGGTTGGGCCTCTGCCGTAATCAGCACGGTTCTCCTTATCAACCAAGTCAGTTTACCATTTTGAAGATTCAGTGGAACTCAGTAGGGAAACAATGATATCTGAGGAAAAGAAGGTTCAGACTTTAAACTACAAGGTCTCCTTCCGAGTACGGAAAGGAAGCATATTGGTCACAGTCCCTCCCTAATTAGTTAAGAGAAAACACACAATTTTAGTAAAATCTATAACCCAAATTTTCTTTTGAAGATGCACGTACGTCAGTTTGGAGCCCTTGCCGCAACGTGACATACATAATAAACCTTTACAAGCAAAAGCTCTCGCAGAAGTACATATAAACTACACCAGGAAGAACACGAGTAGAAGCGAAGCATGTCCTTTCAAAGTTTTCGTCAATTCTCATTCCTTAAATTTGGAAGAGCCTTAACCTGATGCAGTTCCTCAGAAAAATGGGACAACTATATGACATATCGCGCGGGTCTTCGCTGCTCCCTCCGCGCTGGAAGTACTTTCGTCAGTTATAACCTAGTATTCGGCACGGTATTCACCGAGGACCAGAAGATGTGCGGGGTTTCCCCTTACTGGAGTTGAGGTGCTGGGTGACAAATATGACTCCCATTACAAGTATTAGGCAACCAACCAGGGTGCTGAAGAAGAGGGCACCTGGCTGCCTCGTCTGGACAAGACCATAAACCCCAGTGGAGGTCACAAGAATAAGATCGGTAAGCCCATCGTTTGAGAAGTCCTCTGTGATCAGGGCATGTGTAGGTGTTGCCGGAAGATCTACTGATGCTAAAATACCACCTCCAGGAGAAATAACAACAGCTTCTTGCTCTCCGGCAGCAAGGATCACTTCTCTATTATCATGAACTCGCAAGGAGAATGCCTTCAGTGTAGGGACCACAGTACCAGCTTCCATCATCCCCGAAGGAGATGGAAGATTTGACCATGTAGCACCTGTCGAGAGGTGCCACTGCCAAACAGCACCATGTCCATGTAATCCTGGGGAGTATGATGTTACCTGGAAAAAAGAACACCACTCGTAAACGAACTACCCCAAAAAATAAAAAAAATAAAAAAAAAAGGAAAAAGAAATCTGTCCCCTATACACTGAAGGCTGAAAATAGGAATCTCGTAGGCCCATGAAAGATAAGCATACCTCCCCTCGATTCGTCAAAAATACAACGTCGCCATGGCTTCCCTTGCGATGCCTATGGCCATCACGTCTTGGAATGAGAATGGGCGTTGCCACTTCCAAGGAAGCTACATCTTGAGCTCGACCGAAGTGTCTAGTAAATTCTGGATGCTGGAATAAGTTAAACGGGGAGTGGTGACATATAGAGGCATTGAATAGCTGTTCTCGCACTGGTACACCAGAGGTTGCAACAGCCCAACAAGGTCGAAGCACTTCCATAGATCCACTAACAACAGTCTGCTCTGCTCCGTTTCCACCTACCGCCTGCAAAAGGAAAATGTTCATAATCTGTCATTTGGATATCAAACCATTATACTTTGATTCAAAGAACTGTATTATTATTACCAATTTTTCATACCAGTATCAGGGAGAGATATGTTAAACTAATAAGTAGCTATACTAAGATAAAATTAAAACGCAACCAAAACTTATCCATGCTTTATGTTTTCTGGTATCCATAAATGAAAATAGAAAACTAGCATTTCTTGTGGCTCTTGCATTGCAGAAACCTATTGTAACATGCTATGCAGTTTTTCTTTACACCCAAATTAGCCATGTAATTACTGAAATACTAACAACTTAAAGTAGATAGCAGAATTATTTAACAACGTGCATACACGTCAACACACCTCTAAAGATTGATAAGTGAACAATTCAAGTAATCAACCTTATTTTTTAATAATCACCCAATTCCAAAATACATTGATGCAGAAATTCACAAGTCGATTGGGTTGTAAGATCTTTAGAAGACCAACCAAGATACACAAGGAAGAAAAGTATGGACCTGGACGTGATCTAGGACTCCATCACCATTAATATCAGCATGAAGGCCACCTTCTTGAAGATGAAGCTGGCAAATCAACAAATTTTCATTCATGAATGAAGCAGATTATCTCAATATATAAATACTAAAGAGAGAAACTTGGCCATTTAAAGTAGGCTGAGAGTGCAGAAAATATGAAGACAACTTTTGGGTGGCAGTCTTTTTGATAAGAGACAAGGTTACAACTTACCTTACAAACAGTCCGACCAGTTGCCAAATGAACAGCTTCTATTCCTTCTTTCTGATGAGCCACAACAACATTAGGGAGCCACCAAAGCTGAGTGTAGTTTGTTATGGTAGGAATATATTGTATTGGCTGCGCCAAAAAAAAAAAAAAAGGATTAGGAATGGCAGTCACAATGCAAAATAAGAAACAGGTCTTGCTGACAAATCTTACCTTCTTAAATTTTGCTGAACCAGCACGCTCTGTTACTTTGCCAATTAAGTTTGGAATTTTCTTTGTTGAGTCCTTCCCTGGAGGATGGTTTTCCTCGGGCTTGTTAATAGGTAGGGTTATAGACTTCCCAGGTGTTTTCTTCAATGTTTTCCTTTTGTGCCTTCTGAAGTGTGCTAGTTTCAACACAGTATCTTCTCTCCTGTCCTGATAATAAATTATGAAATGTCACAAGTCATTCATCACAAAAGGGGGAAGAAGAATACTTTGAAAAAGAAAATAATGGTTCAACTTACCCAATGATGTGGCATAATTCCAAGAATTGATTCTCTGAATTCCCTACATTCAAACTACAACTCAACAAGTTTCAGCCTTTCAGGGAGTTGATCTCAAATAAATAAAAGAAAAGCAATTTTTTTTTATTTTTTATGAGGAGTATGTGCGCATGTCAGACAGAGAATCTGTAATCGGAGCTTATTCATGCAACTTCAGGATAAACGATCCTCAAACTTGAATTTTAACATCGAGGTGCACACATTAAATCATGCCAAGTATATATAAGCACAGGTATCATGCATCAGGTATTGAGTAACAGCAGCTCGGAGATTATAATTCTTTTTCATGTATACATAAATATATAAGCTTCACAGCACACCTCTCCTGGATGACGGCTATTAAGAGCTTGAGCATCAAGCTTGTAGTTATGCTGTGGAATTATCTGAGACGCATCCGAAGAATGTCCTTCAACATGCTAAACAAAAATAATCCTGAGATTAGTAATGTGAAAAGTATTACTTGCGCCAAAAAAAAAAAAAAAAAAAAAAAAAAACAAGAGAGAGTTGGGGGTAGGGGGGTGGTGAAGAGCATCACACCCTTTAGGCTGTGTAATGTAAAAGCACTTTGTAACTAGATCTAGATGCTGACATGAAGAGTTCAAAAAAGGTTCACCCAATTCTATGATGTTCAAAACAAATATGGATTCCTACTGAAGGAAAACTTACATACTAGAGGCTCAAAGTAATGAAATCAGAAAATAGAGTCCTTACATATCTAAACATATTTTCTTCATCTAGCTAATAAATCCGAAAAATCTACAAAGAGACACAGTAAAAAAGAAACGTATGAAGTATCATTCAATTACAAGCTGGGGCTCACAAAAATATGGCAGCTAGCTGACACATGAATGCACTAAAGCCTAATATAGAATACTACTAAACAGTCATCTATCAGAAACGCAATTCCTCGAGATACAGGAATTGACCGTAGTTCACCACAATTTTACTTGTAACATTCAGCAAGAAGGAAGCATGATATAAAGCACATACAACTCAAGTAAATTATGTTCTTGAAATTCAGGTTTGTTGCTCAGTTCTAACCAATTGAGATCATCTTCATAATATATTTTTTTTCTTTCAAGAATTCAATAATAAAAGACTCACCTCATTCCTTCCTTGCCATCTGACAACACCAGAGCCACCAGCAAATGCATAAAACTTAAAATGGCGTGAATCTACAGTTCCTGGATTTTGAGATGACTGCACAAGTTGTTAAAAATAAAGGATTAGTAATAGCATAAAGATGGCTGGAGGAAGAAACCAATAAGGAAAGGCATAGAGATGCTCTTACGGGTACCATATATTACTAACTTGCCATATATTGAGGGGAAAGTCTCCATGATAAGTTAAGAATGTGCAAAATCTAATTGATATTCCAGAGGCAAAATACAACCATAATATTAGTGGAGTATCCGTTTTAGGTTGCAGAGATAAACGTCCAAAAAGAAATGCATGTCATCTAAACATCATGGATAACTTGCTCTCTCATTTATTTTCTCTTCCGCTTATTAAATGTACATATTTCACTAATGGTTTGATGGTGTAATATTTGACGCTTTACTTGGGCATACTCTGGAAAGGAATTAATCCTAGAATTTTCTGTATCAACTATCAAGGTGAAAATCCATCATGCTGCAATCAAAACTCAAAACAGTTTTTGCAATATTACCAAGGGTGAACATTTTCTGAGTTTGATAATGACCTAATTACTATCACCTTAGTAATTGTCAATTTAATGAGAGAATAAATCTAGTTACAGAATCTGCATACGACATACCACTAAATAGATATAAACTAAACGTCAAAAAGAAGAACAACAAAAAAAGGCCGTACCTCCTTTTCAGTGTCGCTTCTTCCGTGCTGCTCGCTACTCTTTTCCGCTGCAATATCTTCAAAGGGGTCCAAGAGAATCTAAAACAGCAACAAGTTATATTATTTTCCAATGATTGAGAATAAGAAATCACCAACACTTTTGTTTTTAACATGGCACAACTTTGATCGCTCAAAAATAAATAACAAAGAAAATGACCATATCTTATAAACCATAGAAAGGATAAAACCCATACATGAGGCTGAACTTCCATCCTTCCACCAACAATCACCAGTCCAGAATCCCCATGCTTCAAGGTATAATTACTAATTGAGATTGCTACTTCCCTATGGTGAGCATTATGTGGAAAATCCTCCTGTCAAGCAAATTAGCAATTTTTTAAGTGCAATCAAAACGACAACAATTCAACAACAAACACGAAACCAGCCACCAAAAGAGAAAAGGAAGAAAAAGACGAGGTCTGAAACCTGTAAATTATTCTCCCATAGCTTCTTGAGGTTAGAGTCGAAGCACATAACGGACCAACCCGACGTAACGACGACGAGGACCTGCTTCGGAGCTTTTCCCGGTCTAGGGCGCTCGATAACGCCGGCGACCATGGCGACGGCACGTCTCCCACTCGCGACGCGAACTTTGTCGGGCAAAAGGCTCACTTCTGTGAGCACGAGCGCATTGCTGAATCCTTCGTCCACGCGACGGCTGTGCGGCTCCAAAACCTGAGACTCAAACGCCATTATGACATCGCAAAACACAAAACCCTAGGACGGTATTACAGAGACTGAAAGAAAAAAAGAAAAAAACCTGGATTTTGGCGTCCTGAGTGGCAACGAGGACTTCTCTCTTACCGTCGCCGTTGAGATCGGCGACGATCGGCGGCGGGAGACGTCCGCCCTCGAACTTGATCGGGTACTCGTCGGAGAGATGCATCCACGCCTCTCGGAACGAGAAATCGCCCTCATGCTAAGATCAGAAAGTGGAATTCAATCACAGAACAAGTTGAATTGAAGATCCAAAATCTGGAATTGAGAGAGAAAGATTGAGAAAAACCTGAAGAGAGAAGAAGATGGCGAAAGCGGAAAGCATGAGAATGGCCAAATCTCGCTTCCTCATGGTTAGGGATTTTCGGCGAAAACTATGCTTTGATCTTCCACTTTCAGAACTCAGAAGAAGATGAATTGAATACTGAAAACTTCTAGAAGATTCGAGAGGGTAGACTTGCGCGAGGAGCTTCAATCGGAGAACGTAGAGCAGATAACGTAGCGCAGTTCGGTTGGAGTTGACTCCTGTTGCTAACCAGCCGGAGAGATTTTGCTTCGCTAATTACCGTTTGGCACGTCGTTTCTATTGGATGCGGAAGGGATGGCAATTCGTATTATTGTCGTGTTAAGTTCGTATCCAGTCATGTTTTTTTATTGACATTATAATTTTTAACACGAATATGACACCCATTTATAATTATGTCAGAATAAAAAATTCAAACGCAACTCTTTTATTAGAGTTAACACGAACACGAATCGGGTGTTGTCGTTTCGTGGATGGGCTCGAATCAGCCCAACTCAAACTCAAATTGTTGTTGCGGCTCAAGTAAGCGTTTGGGTGACTCAACTCAAAATCAAATTTGAGTTACAATCGAATTTACTCATGCAGATGGGAATTCAACTACTCCCTCAATTCCTATTAACTCGAACCTTTTCCTACAGTTCCCCTCCATGTGATGGTCCTAACTTTTTCCTCAGATTCCCCTGCGCTCCTGACTGTTACTTCTCTTTCTCATCTTTTCAGAAATTGCTCTCTCCTCTCTCGACTCCCATCATTCACAGAGATTCGTTGCCAAAATTTCAGAATTGAAAATTTTTTCTCCTCTGATGGTGAATCATATTCGCATATATGTTTCTTCTTATGAGGGAGGAACCTTTTTTGGCTTCTTCCCTCTGCCCAAAATTGCAAAAATAGCTGAGAAACGCAATCCTCGACGACCACCGTTGGCCGTTCTTTTGGGTAGATGTACCCGCAACCGGCGACGTAATCCCCTGCACCGCCGTAATCAGTGGAGCTTTTCCTGTAGTCGGTATCGGTGGTGGAGAAATTGTGGTAGGGCATCGTCATCACGATTGGGGTTTTTACTGGAGGAGCACCCACATTCATCCACCGGATCCAACTCGGTAAATTTGCTGACCCATTCTCTTTGTTTTTCCATTTCATCCACCATTCTTCTGTTGAAATTGTATATAGCCTATGTTCGTTACATAATACATTAATCGACTAGATGCCTTAAGAATTCAAGTCCAGCCATGAAATGTTGATGTTTTGGGTGTTAATATCGCTATATCTAACCAACAACACAATCTTCCGTAACCATAAAAGTGAAAATATTTGTAACATTGATTTGCATGGTTCAGATTTTTACCTATCTATATACACATACTATGGATTTGGGAAAGAACTTAAATGTAAGGCATAAGGTAAAGCAACGTTAAACTATAAGTGATGTTCTTTGATAAAGAAAAGAAAAAACAAACTGGTGAAGTCTACTTTGGTAAGAAGGAAAAAATATTACTGAGCTTCAAATTAGAATTCTCTTTTAATGAACTCTTGTGTTTGGATAAAAAGGAAAAACGAAGCTAGTTAGTTTCCTATGACTATGATAGTTTGATGTTGTTCCCTAAGGTATATCGGTAAAGCAATGAATCTTCTCATCCATATCTCTTCCTTCACTTTTTCCTCCAACCAAATTACATGAGGTAGTACCTTAATGGCTCACGTTTTAGCTTCTCCTTTTATGATGCATTAAGAGTTTGTCCTTTTATCATGGTTGTATATATTCAAAAGGCACATCTTTTAATCTGAGCCGCGTGTAATTAAAAGGGCAATAGCATCTGTCACAAGTATACAATTTGTTGGATTTGTTTGTCAGTTATACAACTGTGGAGATACTTTACTTGACTGACTATAGAGATATACATACATATGTTAGACATATTAATAGATACGACATGTTGAATATTCTAATAATGCTCATACCATTTCTCCGATCCTAATATTACTCCCTCCGTACATATATGTTGTGCAGATGAACTCCTTGCTCTTATTGGATTTAGTACTTTGGTAGTGATGATTTTTTTAGCATATCAGTTTCGTTGAAGCAATATCCTCTTGGTTTTTGGCATTTATCAGTTGCTACTGCATGTAATGAGGTTTTGTTGGATTGAATGTCATATGTTGTCGTTTGTTATTGCGTTATGACATATGCTTTTAAATCCCTAGCCTATTACTATGTGGTTTGGTAGCATAAGTGCCATCCCAGGAGGATAATGCTCTGAAACTGTGATGATATGATTATAACCAAATCTGAGCCAGTCAATATATTATGTACTTTAATCCTCTTTCTTCTTTGTTGTCGCATATGTCGCTTTGTTCTCGTGGTTGGTGGTCTTGCTTGTATGTAATAGATGCCGTGACGGAGTGAGGATGATGTGACCTTCTATTGGTTTGAGAAATAAAAAATCGCGCTTTTGACGCGCCTTGCGGAATACAATAAAAACAACAAGGGCCGTCAACTGGAATCGGTGGATTAGGAACAATGGGCGAAAGATTTGTCCCCAATTTTTTAATCACCTATTCCTCCAGGCCGCGTTAAAGAGGCAAAGGAACGACTAAAGAAAAAATTCAACGCAGAGCTCGCCCTTTGCACAAATACCGGACTAGGATGGGATCTAATCAAGAATAGCCCAACTTGCACTAGTGCTGGAACTTTGGACGGGTTGCTCGCAACCGCCAGAAAAAATTGAGTTTTTGTCTGAGCCCGAACCCGACTCGCCCGAAAAATTCAGGCCGCCCGCCTGAGCCTGAATTTCACCTTGAACGGGCCGCGGGCTTGTATTAGGCCGCCCGAGCCCGGCCGGGCCGCCTGAGCCCGGCC